TTTTTCAATTTAAAAATGAAATCAGCTGAAACCAAGCAATAATCTAGATAACAAAGGAAGTTGAGGAAGTCTACCAGAAGCTGGAAAGAAAAATCGTGAAAAATAATCATGTGAGGTCTTCTGGAAAATATTTGCTGGGGGTTGTTAAAAGCATAATGACAATGAAAAGTGACACATTTTTACAGATGACAGGAAACAAAAGTAGCAAAATATTCTGAATATCAAAGCAATAGTAGAAGCATTGCTTCATTTTGTACTGCTATAAAATAAAAAAAAAAAAACAACTATATACTAAAAAAAAAAAACCAACTATAGTGAAGAGTTATTTTTACCCCACTTACTGTCTGAGGAAAGAATGAAATGTCCTATAGAAACCTTCCTTTGAAGGTCTAAAGCCTGTTTATATATGGAAGAAATCCTGCCAACTAACACTTAAGTAATGAATAAAAGGTATTATAAACAGTATAGTTACTAATAACCAATTAAATATTTCTGAATTTCTCGAACAAAAAAATCCTAACACCAAACAAGTGACCATAGTGTTCCAAAACTACCATAGCAAACACACTCCTAAGAGTTTAATGCAAAGCCTTAGCTTGTAAGAAGTGTGCTGTGTGTCCTCATCGGATACAAAGCATGGGAACACCCATGCCAAAGCCAGCTCTGGGCACAAGGGGCACCATCAGGTGATGGTTTAGAGGGAAGGGATGTACCAGAAAGGTCAAGTTGCTGCAGCCCACCTCTTCAAAGGGCTCTATTTCCTATACACACTGCAAAAAAAAAAAAAAAAAAAAAAAAAAAAAAAAAAACACCTCAGACTGCAGTTGTTTCGCTTTTAGGTAAGAGATGAAAGAGAAGCTCCTGGGTGAAGTCAGACATTCACGGTGGACTGAGGAGGGATACAGCTGCTACGCCTTTTCCCGGGACTGAGTCAAGTTAAAACTCCTGGCAGGAGTAGCTGTGATTTTTGGAGTAGAAAATGAACCAAAACCTAGTATCAAGGCTTATTCTTGGAACTTGATAGCAAGATACTATCAGACAAACATCCTGGTATAATTTAGTATTTACAGCCCAGAAAACAAAACAAACTACAGAAGAAAGAGAGACTCTGAGAGAATCAAATTCAAATATGTGAACAAACAGGAAAAACAGTATCGAAAGAAAAACCAATCTTAGCACAAGATTGTTATGCTAAAGTCAAACATAATGTTCCCCCCAAATAAACAAAATTATAGGCATAAATGATGGTGACAGAGAAATTTGAGCATTTGTGTATATCTAGCTATCTGTACAAAGACACTTAAAGATATATGCACAGGCACTTAAAGATATACATAAAATCACACATATACAAAAAATTTATATAAAGAATGTCTCCTAAACACAGAAGATTACCTAGAATTAAAGAACAGACCTCTAAAACTTTTTTTTAATAGCTGAAAAATACTATGCAGACCACATTCAATATTTTGGGGGCTTTTGTGGCTACTTAGGAAAGACAGGAAAGAATTAAAAATCCATTTCCTTATGATCACAAGTAAAATGAGCCCCAAGGGCTGCATCAGGCTTCAACCATGAAAGAGACAACATGAAATGCTGAGTCAGCACAAAATTGCCTGGTCCTGACTTATTCCTTTTGCACCAAGAGTCAGCTGAAAGGCAACTTGTGTGTTTTTACAGAAACTATCCCCAAAGCAAGTGAGCAATGCATCCCTACTGTAATACAGAAAGAAAAAGTAGAATGCCTAAAATCTGAAACAATGCTTGAAAACAGCCCTTAATCTGAAAGAACCCAAGTAGAAAAACTGGAAATGTAATTCTTAAACATTGTAATAAGCTGTAAAAGGCTAAGAGAACATACCAGTTGTCTGCCCAGCCCTACAGTCCTGTAAAACAAGCACACAAGGAGAATCCCCATGGGACACAATGCTGACATGTTGTTGCAGGGGCAGGAAGGCAGAGCAGCAGCAGCAGCCAAACTCCACAGTTCCAAGCTCATCACACCCACTTACAGGGCATCACCCCAACAGGGCCCTCAGTAAGTCAAAGTCTGACCGAAGACACTTGCTGGTTTTAAGACTCCTATAATTGTTGCTCCCTTTATGGGTACAAACTTAAGAAATGAAGGGTAGATGTTGGGAAGACAAGCTGAGCCATCCAGACAGCCTTACGTTCAGGGGACAAAAATAAAAATAAATCACTGTGGCAGTAATGTTGCATTTAAAGACGTGTTCAAATGCTCAATCTCCATCCTTGAAGGCTTCAACGCTGGAGTAGACACCCTAAAGTTTCCTTCCAACCTCCATCCTTCTCTGACCCTATGGCTTATTTCACTTCTAGCCATGTATTGCAGGAATCCTGCAGGAGATACACTTCCAGCAGGCCACCTGTCTTTCAGGCTGAAGACCTGTAAATTAGTCACTTCTTTATGAAAGCCATGATGTAAGTTGAACTGTATTGAGTCCAACACAGATTTCTGTGGGACTTTCTCTTCACTCCTTAAAACAAACAAAAAACAAAACTAACAAAAAAAAAAAAAAAAAAAAAAAAAAAAAAAAAAAACAAAAAAAAAAAAACCCAAACCAAAACAGAAAAACCCCAACTGCTTCACAGCTTCTACTCACTTATTTATATATGCAAGTAATGTCCACATTATTTCACAGTCGTTTAAGGAACTCATTAAGTAACACACTTCTTCATCCATGTAATTATGACCTTCAAAGAACTCATATAGATTTGTGAGACACGTCATCCTTGACAAAAGCCTTGCTTACTTTCTCAGTAGACCACACCCTCCCATGTGTTACTAATTCTTTCCCTTACCACATTTTGTAGACAACATGCCTGGAAAAGATCCAAGTCTTGCCAGCACACAGTTCTCTGGTTCTCTTCTGAGAACCACTAAAAAAATGGTGCATTTGTCACCTTCTGGTCTTCTGGTACCAAAGTTGTCTCACTGATTACATCTAATGTAATCTAAAATTTAGCCTTTGCATGATTTTGGTGGACCACTGAAATCTAGTTGCCATCTACCATTATTACTTATGTCCCATCATTGTAGCCTCACGTATCAACAAAATGTTTATTAAAGGTCATAAATTGTCAAGCATTACCCACCTTAAAATAAAAAAAATATTTTCCCTAGACTTGAGATTTTGAACTGTATAACTCTAATCTTGGAACAAAGTGCAATGCATTTTCTATGGCTGTGGGCTTGGTGATAAGTTCTTCAATTTTTTTTTTTATTATTATGGGGTTTTTTACTTCAGTCTCTTACATGGTCTTCCTCCTTGAGAGAAGGAGTTAACACTTCATTGCAAAATTGCCTTTGTGAAAGTTTTTTACATTTGCTGTGTGAGTTGGAGAGATGCTCTGTGACATTTTTGCCATAATTTAGATTTAACTGCGCACATAGGCATGAAGCACCTGCCAACAGTACAACAGAGCACCAGCTTCAGAAGGCAATTATCTCTGAGATTATGTCACTGATGCTTCTGTTATTCTTTTGGTTTGGACATATTTTGTCATTTCAGCATCCATACATTCAAATCAAAAAGGGTCTAATCTATTTAAATTATTTTTATTTCTAGAATAGTCACCCACACCCATCTATAATGTCTCCTATTCAACAACTGTGACCTTCTATTTCTTCTAACACCCTGTCACAGAGAAATGGCAGAAGTCCAAAATAACTCATTGAAATAATTTAATTCTTCACATGGAAATGAAACTAAAATGGTCCTTTTTGACCTATGGTCTACAGACTGCTGATAAGAGGGGAATAATAACTAAGTAGAACAAGCCTAGTGTCAGGCCGATGAAAAGGCCTTGCATTTGCACTGCAACTTTTTGAAAGCCATCATAAGATTCTTGTTTTAGATTCAGCACTTACAATTAGAGTTGGTGAAACATTGGGCAGGACACACAGGCGTGAAGTGAACGCATGGGAGAGCCAGGGCCCTGCTTTTTCCACAGCTTTTTGCTACCATATTGTACAAACCTGTTGCAACGAAACAAACCAGCTGAAGCCAAGCTCAAGTGAAACAGAAGTGAGGAGCCAGTAGCAGCCGTGGCTCCATCCCAAACCCTGTGATGGCTAGCATATCCCCTGAATTGGCTAGCTCCTGAATCCTCTCAGCAGCCGGCAGCTCACTCACAGGAAAGCCCAAGAGGGTGCCACCCTGAGTATTTGTGCAAGGACACAACAGTCAGACCTGTTGTGCCACGCTGTCTTCACAGCTGCACTGAGCCATTGCCTGTAAACTTGAGCCACCTCATCGAACATTATCTAATCCTTTGTTTACAATTGCCTGGTGTCATAACTATGCACGTAATTTGTAAATGCACCTTGTTCCAGCAACCATGCGTCCCGGATCAAGCACAGTCCCGCTTCAGGATACCATTACCCAACTTTGTGAGCACCATTTCTAGCTCACCCCTGGACAAACTGCTGATAAAACAATCATCTCCTTTAAACTGTGTGTCTTAAGACATTTGAATGCACAGCTTAAGACAATGCACAGCTGAAATCTGGGAAGCGTAACATTTGTAAAGCTGGGAGTGACCGAAAAATATGCCGCTGCCCATGGTGACTTACCCAAGGGACAGCAACAGCAGGAGGGGACAGCAGCAGCAGAAACACGGCAGAGCAGCGTAGCCTGAGGACCGAAAACACACTACACCAGGGCTACGTGGGAAAACAACCTGTACAGGCACCACCAACACGCGGCTTCGTACAGCCTTGTGTAGGTGCGGCAGCCTGGCAAAGTCACCAATCGACTTAACTCTGAGAGCGAACGCTGTGATCCAAGAGCGTTTGTGATGGGGAAGTTTCCAAAAGCCTCCACGCTCCTGAGCGAGAAGTACTCGAGAGAGAGACGCCTACCCCGCGCCGAGCGCTGCCAGCAGACGCTGCAGTTTGCCGGAGCGGCTCTCTGAGCCACAGCAGCGGCAGGCACGGCTCCTCTGCCCCGGCCCCACCTGCCCTCGGCGCTACTCACAGCGGGTGCCAGCGCTCGGGCAGGCGGCGGTGCAGCGAGATGCGGTCGCTCAGGTAGATGTTGATCTTGTGCCGGCGGATGCTCTCCTCCTGGCGGCGCTTCTCGGCCGGGTTCAGCTCCAACCTCACCGCCCGGCCCAGCTCCCCCAGCGCCCCCGCGTCCAGGGCCGGCTTGGCGTACACCGGCCGCCGCAGCAGCTCGGAGTCGGGGGACGGCGGCTGCGGCGGGGCGCGGCGGGCGGCGTGGAGGGGCGGCGGGCCGTGCCGCCACACGAGGAAGCCGAGCGCGGCCAGCAGCCCCAGGGCGAGCAGCGCGCCCTCGCCCCGGCAGCCCCGGCCCCGCTTGCCCCAGCACATCCCGCGGCCGAGGCGGCCGGCCATGCCGAGCGGGCGGCGGCTGCCGTCTCACGGACACGGGCGCGCCTCCGTCCCGGGCAGACTCGGCGAAGTTCTCACGGACCTGCCCACGCCGCGACACCGCCCGCCGCCAGCGCTGCCCCGCCAGGAAACCCGCACAGCTCCTCCGCCGCCGGCTCCTCCCTCCTCCCCGCCCCGCCGCCGGCCAGCCCGGAGGGGCGCGGCGCGGAAGAGCCGGGCACGGGCGCTGCCGCGGGGCGGGGAGCGGCACCCCTGGGCAGGGAACCCGCCCCTCTTGTCCCCAGGCTTGCTGCGCCCCTGCCGTCCGCCAGCCGCCTCCCCGGGATCGATGTCCCTCGGTTTCCTGGTGGTCCGAAGGCTGCTTGGCCCCCGAGGGTTCCAGCACACCAGGGAAGGCACACGGTTCCAGCCTGCTCCGCGTTCGCCCTGGGGAGACAACCGGTGGAACCAGTGCTGGTCCTGACCCATCCCGGGGCAAGGAGGGAGTGGAAGCCATCCCGGTTCTGCCGGATAGCAGAGAGCTGGGATGTGGGGAGAGAGGCATGTTCCTTTTGCTGTCACCCTTCAAGGGAAAGACCATCTGGTCGCCTTGAAGTTTGAGGGACCTTCATAAGCGCTGGTAGCTGCATGGTGGATATGCCATTTCCCGAGCAAGGGAAAGCTCTGCTGGCACTGAGCTGCCAGGGCCACAGCAAGCTGCTTTGGTCTCTGGGAGTGTTTGAGATAGCCCCAAGGCTTGCTGTCTATGGACAGAAATTTTCAGAGCTGCAGGACAATGGAGGTTATTTCCCACAGAGGGACTAAGAAGAGCTTAGGGGCCGAAGGGACCAAACTAATAGGAAACCATCCATTCTGCTGCTTGCAGAATAGCATGTGCTTCAGAAGCAGAGCAGAACACGGGCTAAGAAGCTATAGGCATTAATGACAAGCTTTTTTTTTTTTGAAGAAAGGAGTGTTCTTGGTTGAAAAAAGAAGTCAACCAATGTGGCCTCATTGAAAGGAATCCAAAATACTAGTGAAAATCCTAAGTTTATTGTACACATAATAGGCAGTCCATTCTATGTCTTGACAGAATCATGGAGGAAAAAACAACAGTAGCACTAGTTAGAACTTTCAGATTTGCTTCATGCTCAACCACATAACCACACTGCTTGTTTTACTTCAGCCCCTAACAGTGTGAAGCTCCATCTGCCTAAACTTGTGATCTGGAGGCCATGAGATTACACGAGAGTTCCTGATTTTGCATTTGAAATACTTTAACATAAATATAACATAACTGGATACAGATTCTCTCTCACTCGCAGTAGGGAGATGGAACTGGTGTTGAGGCATCATTTGCTGTTTGCTCCACGCATTTTCCAAAGAGACTGTTCACTGCAACATCCTCTGCTGTTGGAGGCTGTCAAGATCAACCCATCAGAGGAGTTCGCTCATGCCCATAGAGAGAAATTCAGAACAGTACACAGCACTGGGTGGTGCTCACCAGCACTACTGAGGAGTGAATAAAACTAAGGAAGGGAAAAAATGTCATCGCTATCAGAGTCAGGGCATACAGTAATGAGCTCTTTCTGATTTTACATGATAATAAATACTGTATGTGACAACAAATGCAGACTCAGCTACTGTGGAGGCCTTCTCTGGACAGAAGGGTGCTGAAAACCAGTGGCTGATGGTGATTCTGGCAAGCTAGTGTAAATCAAGTAATTTAGGTGGATTTGCAATGAGTGTGTGTATAGACAGATTATTTCTTATTTAGCTATACAGCTAGCTATCACAGAAAGTTATATAGGCATAAATCTAGTTTCAATATGCTTTGTAGACAACTACTAAATATCAGTATGTTGGACATGAGAATTTACATTGCTTATAAAGGATGTCATGTCTAGCAAACTTTGGGTCTGAAGAGTCAGGTGGCACCAGTTATTGCATGCTCATTGTTTGCTTTGCCTCCTTGCTTGCCATCTTTCTGAATGAAGGAAGCCTGTTCTGGGAATGAATCAAAGGAGAAGAGATCCTCCTGGACTCCCAAAAGAAGTTACTGAGGAGATTGGGAAGAGGTAAGGAGCAAAGTGTAGGACTAAGAGTTAATTAAGAATTTTAAGTATTAGAGCAATATGGAAGAAGCACAAGAACATGATCACATGACTAAAACAAGTTCTGAAACAAAAAAATGGGAAACAGAGAACCAAAAATTACAGAACTGCTCTAAGCAGTAATAATGCTTTTATGGCAAACTAATGGGGGAAGACTTTCTGTGATGACCATTGCAGTGGGGATTGAAGTATTGCTAGTAAACAGTAGTTCCCTGAGGATGATGTCCAAACACATAAACCCGAGGAAATTTGTGAAGAGAAAGTACAGTAATGAGGTTAATGTAAAAATCATAAAGAAGCAATTATTTGCATTCACAAATAAGTCTGTACAAGATGTAAAGAATATGAAGGTAAAAACATGTTTTGTCTAACCTTTTCAAACAGTTTTGGGATGTAAATGTTATGGGAACACTGAACATTCTGAGCTGAAATAGTTAAGGTGTAAAGAATTCTCTCTGAACATGAGTCCTAGTGGGGAAAAAAAAATCTACAATCAACAAGGCAAATGAATGAGTTTACTGCTAGCCATAAAACTTGTAGCAAAATTTTCATGGAGGATTTCCTTTTAAGCAGTTCTCTTGTTTCTTTCAGGTTGAATAACAATGGAAGTTAAAATAACTTGTTATGATTTTTTAGTGTTTAGTGAATTATAATTTTGGTTGCTTCAGGAGTTTCAACCAAAGATAAGTAGAGTAACCAAACAAGTCATATAAAAACTCTAATTACTTATCTAGAAATATCTATTGCGCCCTTAGTTGTCCAAATTAAAACAGAAGATTAGTAGAAAAATTTATTTTTAAAAACAGAAAATTTTTTCTTCACCTCAAAAAGTATCCAAAATATTAACTAAACCTTTCAAAAACACTAAGAGAAATATGCAATTGTCCACAAGAATTCACATAATAGTGAATGTAATAGCTGAAATTAAGGGTGTATCTCTTGCTCTCTGAAATATGTTTGAAATGCAGGTAATATTTAGTTCACCTAAAATACATGAGCTTATTGAAGGACCAGGTTTACATATAGGGTAATATATCTTATCTTATAGGTAAGATAAGATGAACTATTTGACACCTGTATAGTTATTAAAAGGTATTCTTATTTTTAGTGATGACATATACATTACAGAAAAAACAGAGCTATTAAATTTTGCATAATATTTAAAATTCACCTCATAGAAACTTCTCCTTTTTTTTTCTTTTGTGTGTAAAAAGCTAAAATCTAAAATGGAAATAGAGTGGGAAGACTGCATTTTCAATAAGTTAAACAGCCTCCTAAATTCACACTTCCAGAGTAAAAATAAAGTAACAAATAATGTACAGAAGAATAAAGTTCCTAGTTCTAGAAAAAGCCAATGCTTACATATTCTATAGAAAAAAAATCAGAAGAATATGATGTAGAAAACATGATGTAGGAATACTTTGGACATAGAAAGAAAGTTTGCTTAAGGAGAGGAGGAATCATCAAAGTTATAAAGCATACCCACTGGAGATAGCATTGGACTGATGGACTCATTGTTCACCATTGTCTTAACTGTGCATAAAAACTGTGCACTGCCCTGCAACACCCCTCCAGTTCTCACCTTGGCTGCTCTTTCTCTCCTTTATTAGCACAAATGTTTTTAAAATATCATTATTCAGCCTATTGTACTACCAGTGCCAAATATTTTTTTAATATATAAATGTGTTTGGATTGAAAGCCTCTGTATTTGAGACAGCTGCATAGCACATGCAAAACACAAAATGAGCCACACCCTGCTTCCCCAGTGCCAAAGGGTCCTCGGTGCTTCAGCAGGAACCCTGTTTTACAGGGTGGGCTTTGGAGAAAGAGGGAAGCTGGGTGTATAGTGCAGAGGCAGAGAGATCAAGGAGTTGAGATGAGAGGAAGAACCCTAAAAATAAAACAGAATAAAAACACAGACTTGATGACTGACATAGAAACTGTTGCCTATTTCAGGGATCTTCTATCAAGCTGATGAATGCTGTGAAATTCTTCTAGTGACAGGTCAATAAGATGAGGCAGCATTCAGTGGATTACTTGGGCAGGACCTCAGCTGCACCTGTGCAGGTCTCTGTAGAACATGTATGTGCACATGTACATGTGTATGTGTACACATATATAATATACACACACAAAGTGCTGTGCTCGAAAGGTCACATACAAGCCAGGACAGACAGACAGACAGACAGACAGAACTTGCATGTCAAAGGCACCAATCAATACATTTGCTTGCTGTAGGTATGTATTGCTTGCATATAATTTTTCTCTTAAGCCAAATAGCAAGCATGAACTGCAGGCAGTGGAAGAGATAGCGTACATAAAGGAAACCTAGGCCAGGAAGCTTAGCTGTCAGAGAGTGTTGGAACAGAACTGCAGTTCTGCTCACAAAGTATGGTATGATGTGACACGTTAACGAAGATATGTTTTGCTGGAGACCTGACTGATTTTTCACAGAGTTTCATGCAGACACAATTAATTAAAATACTGAGTTGCAAATACTTTTTGAAAGTTTGTCAAAATTATGGCATATTCTGAAAAAAATAAATTAAGTCAATTCCTCATAAAGGTATAGCAGCTAGTCATAGTAGACAAAGAGAAGACTATGATTAAAATTCTGAACCAAGAAGTCAAGCAGATATTACATTGTGAAATTAATCTATGTCACCCTACACTGTAGCTACTTACTACCATTTGGTTTTTAGTAATTTTTTCAAGGTTGTTTCTGTTTCTATGTCTGAAAGGACCAGAGTTAACATACAGAAGTCCAGTGATACTGGGGAAGCATTTCCTTTTCTGTGAAGGGACTTCTAATACATGTGTCTTCTTTTTCATTAAGGCAGAGATAAGTGTCTTCACACAAAAGACACACTAAATGTTTCAGTTTTCTTTTTCTCAAAAGTATGACTTTCTTGTGGTTCACATCAGTAAGATTTTACAGTAAAAAATACATCTTTTACCTCTTAAATTGACATGAATAAATGCTATCATACTTG